GGAGAAAGTGAGAGCATCACTTTCTCCCTCCTTTCCCAAGCAAAACCTAATGAAAGAAACTTTGTAACACTGCCAACTAGAGGCTTGAAAATGATATAGACGAAGTTGAGAAGGCTGAGAAAGAACCCTTTTCAAGGACACTGCTATGTGATAGAGGGAAGAGCACGAGAGTGTGTTATTACAGGTGTTCTTCTGGATTTCTATCAAAAAATGAAGCCTGGTGTTGTTTCAATACAAAAAGAAAAGCTGATAAGTCCTTGAAGAAAAGAGTTATAAGAGCCTTGGATAATCAAATAAAGTGCAGTGTGTCCTTTTTATTTCTTTTAAGTTGTGCTACCCCTCCTTACCAGCCTTACTGTATTTTCTTTTTTTTAAACCTTTATTTTTGTAATATTTGTACGTTTGCTTTTTGTTTTAAAGGGAAAGCCTCAAATTTTTCTCTTTTTTGGGGGGGGGGATTTTTTGTTTTTCTATCCACTCTTTTGGTTCCTTTTTATGTATTTTTTTTTCCATTTGAGACCCTCCAATTGGATTAAGGTGTTGAAGAACCTGAATAAATTTTGTCTCTATTATTATTATTATTATTATTATTATTATTATTATTGGGCTTTTTTTCTCTCTACCATTTTTATTTTTCACTTTGGATTACAATTGGATTAAGGTTTAGAAGAACCTGAAGATTTTGAATCTCTTAAAATGAGTAGGAAATTCATAGCTTCTGGCTCAACTACTACTTCCGCCTCCCCACCATCTGGAGGACAACGTTCAATACAGACAATGTTAAAGCAAGACAAAGAACAAGAAAAAGTGACTCTGCAGATGATTATGCAAGGAATCCAAGATCTTAAAATAAGATCAGAGACTACTGAAAAGAGAATAGAGAACATTGAACAAAGAACAGAGAACATTGAACAAAGAACAGGGAAAACCGATGAAAAAGTGGAGAACATTCAACAAATGATGATGAAGTATGATGAGAGATTCCAAAAAATTGAAGAAGATAAACAAAGAGACAAGAAGTTTGGAGACATTGATAGTAGACTAACGGTGGTTGAACAAGATAAAAGTGGGATGCTGAAATGGGAGATGGACAGATCAGAATTTTATCTCAGATTTCAAAACATAGAGGAGGAAAAAGGACAGAACCTAGCTGAGATAATGATAGAAATACTGGCTGAAGCTTTGGAAATAACTCAAGGGAAGATGATGGAGTAGATGAGGTATACCGAGTCTTTACAAGATATGCGATGAGAAATAACCTACCAAGAAAAGTTCATATCAGATTTACAAAAAAAGCCATTAAAACGCAAATATTACAAGTGGCAAGAGAGAAAATGCTGAAATACAAAGGCAAGGAGATTGTGGTCTTAAAACAAATACCCAGAAGAGTGAAAGATGAGAAGAGGATATCGATTCCTGACTAAAATGTTACTGAAAAAAGAGGTGAATTATAGATGGCTGATCCCAGAAGGGTTAATGTTCACATGGCAAGAACAGAGACACAGAATTGATTCAATTGAGAAAGCAGAACTATTTTACTCAGAATTTTTTGGAAGGAAAGAGGAAGAGGCGGAAAAAGAGGTTTCACTAATTGAATTCCAAGAGGACCAAATGGGGACTGAAAAAGAAGGTGCAGTAGGTGGACAGGTGGAAACCAAATAACAACGTGAACCAAGATCTACAAGAGCTGCCAAGCCCAACTATAAAATATAACCATGGAAGAAAAAAAAATGGATCACAATTAATATAAATGGACTTAATTCAGCTGTTAAAAGGAAAACTTTTCATAAATTAGAGAAATCAAAATTTGATATAATTTGTCTACAAGAAGTACGTATCAAAAAACATGAACTGTTGGTACAGCCAAAATTAGGGAAAATATTTACTTCTTTGACCCAATGTAAGAAAAGAGGAGTGGTTTTATATATTAAAGAGACCACTCCAGCAAAACTGATTTACAGTGATGAAGATGGAAGAGTATTAATGGTGGAAATAATGGACAATAATATGAAAACACTCCTGATTGCAATTTATGCCCCGAATGATAAACAAAAAGAATTTTATTAAAAACTACATATGAAATTAATTGAACTGGACTATGCCAATATAGTTATGATAGAAGATTTCAATGGAAT